CTTCCCTGCTCAGTTTTTATTTCATTTTAAAATTTCCGGTACAGGTTAAAAATGGAAGTTTAAGATATCGGTTCCGGATAAAGTTCCGTTTCCGGTAAAACTTCGATTCCAGTTAAAATTTAATTTCTGGTTTAATTTCCAGAGTTGGTTAAAATGGCGGTTCCGTGTTAGAGCTGCATTTTGTTGCATTTTGGTTCCCGTTTCATTTTGGTTCAAGTTATCGATTTTTGTTTAAAGAAAAATAGATTAATTAGAAACGTAGTCAGAACACATTGATTTTTTATTATTTACTGTTTTCTTTGCTTTGTCACAATTTATATCAACGTGTATTAAAGCACATATATTTCTCAAAAAGTACAAAGTTTTGTAAAAATAATATTATCTTTTTCCGTTTGTGTCCAAGAAATATGAGGCAGGTAGAGTTGGTGTATGTTTCAACGATCATGGCATAAATGGGATAAAGTGGTCAGTGCCAAGCCGACTGGTTTCTCTAACATAAGTAAGGTACCTATTAGAGCTTTTTTTATTTAACCGAAAGTGCAAAGATCAAAATAAAAATAAATCTCTTTTCCTTCCAAAAAATTATAACTTTGTCTTAAAAATTATACAAATCACACAACTTTACGTTATAAATAATAAATACGAATTAAAATGGCATAGAAAAAATTTCAAAATGTGTGATTGTGTTTATGTTTGTGTTTATGTTCCTGGTATGTTGAGAGTAAGGATTTATGTTGACGTTTGTGTGTACGTTGATGTTTTTTTGTTGTTGAAGTTTGGTTAGGTTTAAGGTTATATATATTTTTCTCAAAATATTTGCATACAGACATTAAATATATATATATATATATATATATATATATATATATATATATATATATATATATATATATATATATATAGAAAACCCGTGCAGCGTCCTGTATTTCACACCACACTGTCCTTTACTGATACGTTTATCACAAGGGCCGGTGCAGGGCCTGGCCGGGACGGCTAGTTTAGTTTAAAAAACAATGACACGGTAAAATAAACAAAATTTCTAGATATTTTAAAAATTAAGAAACAATATTTATTTCAATTACAAATATGAACAACGAAACAAAGCTATTTTAATATGTGATCTATTGGTTCACATACAACAAGAAAACTAGAAACTAGTCTTGAGAATATTTATGTCAACATTTTCGCTAGTTTTCTTGTCATTAGACGACAAAATGCTGGTTTACAAAAATTGTTGACGCTAGATCTGTATTTAGTTTTGATGGACGCTAGATCTGTCATTAATTTTGATGAAAGCTAGATCTGTCATTACCTTTGAAGGTACCACGAGGCCTTAATGATTATCACTAAATTATGAGTTACTAGAATCCTATGGTTGTTGCTTGTTTACGATACAGCATTAAACTTACATCTTCACCGTTCTGATAATAACATTTTACCAAGAAATGATACTTCAAATAACATACAATTACTTTATAATTTTATATTGTAAACGTTTTGAACATACAAGACGATAAATGTCTTTAAATATCCTTGAATGGACGTTAATGTTTCTACATTTAAATCCTGTTTCTGACCTAAAATAAATTCGACATTTATTTACTGGTAGTTGCAAGTGACGCTTAAAGATTTTCATCATCAGCTGGTGAATAGTGGAATGGTCTGCAGCTAGGCTGCAGATGGTGAATAGTCTGCGGCTAGTCACTTGTAAAAAAATTATAAATTCGACACCAACTGAAGTCGTAGGAACTCAACTGTGAGCGGCATCATAGGGTCATGTTGGCTGTTAGCTACAACACATCGCTGACTCATGTGACCCATACAACCCAGGTGACCCAGGTGACCCAGGCCCACACTGTTGATGGGTTGCTGTTGAGTGACGAGGCGTTGCGCCTGTTTAACTTGATCAATTACGTCATCCTGGGCGGGTGTGTCAGCGTTGTTGGTGTTGTGTTGAACCTGGTCAACGTGGCGGTGTACACCAGGCTGGGCTACAGAGACACCTCCAACATGACGCTGTCGGCCCTGTCCCTCTCAGACACGGGGCTGCTGCTGATGATGCTGGCCTACAGCCTCGTGTACAACCCCCTGCTGCCCGCCGACAACCCCGAGCTGATCTACGCCGTCAGAAACCTCGGCATCGGCTGGCCTCACGTCATCATCAGCCGGGTCTCGGGGTGTATAAAAGCCTTCATCGCCCTCGAGAGGTTTATCGCCATCGCTCACCCCCTCAAGGTCAAGGCCATCCTAACCCAGTCCCGTACGCTGATCGTCTGCTTTCTCCTGTTTGCTGTTCCATTCGCCGGCTCCACCCCCGTCTTTGTGTGCCTCAGTATCACCTCCCACTTCAACTCGGCCCTGAACATGTCAACTCTGGCCCTAGTAGCCTGTAGCAATCGCTACCAGCTGGAGAGTGTAGCCATATACTTCAACATGTTCCTCCAACTCTCCTCCTTCCTCCTCATCTCTGTGCTGACCGTCGGGCTGGTCCACGCCGTGCTCAAGACGTCCAGGTGGAGGAAGACCTCTGTGACGTCAGGACGGTCGACACGTGACCAGAGGCTGACTCGAACCGTCCTGGTCGTCTGCCTGTCCCACATCGCCTGCGTCACGCCCAACATCGTCGGCACGGTCGTCATGCTCATCTACCGAGACAACTTGACGAGCCTGCGATACAAAAACCTGCTGGACGCCATCTTCTCCAGCCTGTTTCTACTCGGTGCTGTCAACAGCTCTATAAATATTTTTATTTACATCAAGACTAGCTCAAAGTTTTTCAAAGTTCTCAAAAGTTTCGTCTGTCGACAGACTGACAAGAAATATTTGACAGAAACTACAGGTGATATCAAACAATCGGCCACGTTTTTCTGATGGTCAGGTCTGATGAAAGCAAACGACAAAACATGATGATAAAATGTTGGGTACTTTTTAATGTAACGTCTGCTTTAACGTCTGTGTTATAACTGGGTTTTATGTGTCCCACAGCTATGCAGTGAGAGGGTTGAACTACTTGATCTAATAGAATATCCAGATACCCTACCATTTCATTATGTCTAGCCATGTTATCTAGCATCTTGAGACACGACGACATCAACGCATACAAATGATTTGACAGAATGACATTGTTTACTACTTCTATTTATTACACTATAAGAAATAGACATCGGACGACTTGAACAAACGACTGGACAACCTAACCCTAACACAACAACAACAAGACTACTTGAAGCTTCTTACCCGGCAACAACGAACCTACACTAAAACGTCACTTTCTTGCGAATGGTGTGTAGCAGTCACGGCAGGAACTAGTGTTGTTTATACGTTTAAAGAACTCTCCTTCATCAATAGTCTTTCTTAAATTTATGGGTGGATTGATAAATTGTCTTTCTCAATGTGGATTGTTTGATAAATTGTCTTACTCAATGTAGATTGATAAATTATCGTACTCAATGTGGATTGATAGAACCTTTGAATTAGAAACTGTCATGTTTTATTGTATTACATAAACGTAGTTAATCACAAACCCAAGGTGTACGTTAAAGGTGAAAGGACTCACTGGTCATTCTATCTAAATCTCTCACGTGAGGGCCCCAGACGCCTTAATCTCTCACGTGAGGGCCCCAGACGCCTTAATCTCTCACGTGAGGGCCCCAGACGCCTTAATCTCTCACGTGATGGCCCCAGACGCCTTAATCTCTCACGTGAGGGCCCCAGACGCCTTAATCTCTCACGTGAGGGCCCCAGACGCCTTAATCTCTCACGTGAGGGCCCCAGACGCCTAAATCTCTCACGTGAGGGCCCCAGACGCCTTAATCTCTCACGTGAGGGCCCCAGGCGCCTAAATCTCTCACGTGAGGGCCCCAGGCGCCTAAATCTCTCACGTGAGGGCCCCAGGCGCCTTAATCTCTCACGTGAGGGCCCCAGGCGCCTTAATCTCTCACGTGAGGGCCCCAGACGCCTAAATCTCTCACGTGAGGGCCCCAGACGCCTTAATCTCTCACGTGAGGGCCCCAGGCGCCTAAATCTCTCACGTGATGGCCCCAGGCGCCTTAATCTCTCACGTGATGGCCCCAGGCGCCTTAATCTCTCACGTGAGGGCCCCAGGCGCCTTAATCTCTCACGTGAGGGCCCCAGGCGCCTTAATCTCTCACGTGAGGGCCCCAGGCGCCTAAATCTCTCACGTGATGGCCCCAGACGCCTTAATCTCTCACGTGAGGGCCCCAGACGCCTTAATCTCTCACGTGAGGGCCCCAGACGCCTTAATCTCTCACGTGAGGGCCCCAGACGCCTAAATCTAACCGTCAAAAACATGTCCACTGAGCCTACAGGTTTTGGTGTTGTGGACGATGTGTCCTCTGGGCAAAACGTTCATGAAAGTTGACCTGCAACTTGTTCATGTTTTAGTACAACAGTTTTTGGCTAAATGTCGACCTAAATAGCGACATGGACTTTAGTACAACAGTTTTTGGCTAAATGTCGACCTAAATAGCGACATGGACTTTAGTACAACAGTTTTTGGCTAAATGTCGACCTAAATAGCGACATGGACTTTAGTACAACAGCTTTTGGCCAAATGTCGACCTAAATAGCGACATGGACTTTAGTACAACAGTTTTTGGCTAAATGTCGACCTAAATAGCGACATGGACTTTAGTACAACAGCTTTTGGCCAAATGTCGACCTAAATAGCGACATGGACTTTAGTACAACAGTTTTTGGCTAAATGTCGACCTAAATAGCGACATGGACTTTAGTACAACAGCTTTTGGCTAAATGTCGACCTAAATAGCGACATGGACTTTAGTACAACAGCTTTTGGCTAAATGTCGACCTAAATAGCGACATGGACTTTAGTACAACAGCTTTTGGCTAAATGTCGACCTAAATAGCGACATGGACTTTAGTACAACAGCTTTTGGCTAAATGTCGACCTAAATAGCGACATGGACTTTAGTACAACAGCTTTTGGCTAAATGTCGACCTAAATAGCGACATGGACTTTAGTACAACAGCTTTTGGCTAAATGTTGACCTAAACAGCGACATGAACGTGAGCTTAAACTTGGAGCTCATGTTGAGGTAGATGAAAATGTTGACGGTGGAGTTGATGGAGCCCAGTGCGAAGAAGATGGCGTAGCTGGCGATGAAGGTGTTCCTGTAGAGCCCCGTGACGTTGTAGTCCTTGACGACCAGCATGACGACGATCCCCACCACCCCGGGCAGCGAGCAGACGATGAAGATGGCGGCGATGAGGATGATGAGCTTGACCAGACGCTTGTCACGTGATGCTGTGGACGAGCTCTTGACCGACGCGGTTTGTCGCCACTCCGAGATTTGTAGAAACTTCTGGCTCAGACAGACGGTGAACACGGTGACCACGCTGAAGGAGGTCAAGTGAACGATGAAGTTAAAGGTCAAGGACACGTTCTCCAGCTGTGAACTTTGGTCTGACGTCACCAGTCTCAGAATGGTCTGGTTTAAGTTGGGATCGAGCGACACCTCGATTTGAAAGCCGAAGAAAACGGGCACCGTGCAGGCGATAGTGAGAGAGTAGATGAAGATGTTGACGACCAGTGTCCGCCTCTGGGTGATCAGACGTTTGACCTTCAAGGGAAATGCCACACAGACAAACCGCTCGAGCGTCAGGAAAGCCGTGAGACAACCGGATATCCGGCTAAAGCACACAAACGGCCAGCCAATGGGGAGGTAATCCAGCGCCCCTACCGACTCGAGACCGTGGACGGCCCTCACAAAGAGGGGGTTGTAGATGACCCCGAACCCCACGAGCATGAGTAGGACCCCTAGGTCGGCCGCCGACAGACTGAGGAGCGTGATGTTCGTCGTGTCGGTGAAGCCCATCTTGATGAAGACCACGATGTTCACCACGTTCAGCGCCACGCCCACCACGCTGATGACGCCAGCGATGACGCCGTAGGTGATGAAAGTTATGACGTAAGCTTGCTCGTCACTGATTAAGTCAGAGGCTAATGGTTGACCGGAAATTTCCGGCAAAGTTTCACCGGTTTGTTTGTCGTTACACTGGCTGATGTTACAGACATTTGATGAACTCATTGTGGTGAATTCGTGATGGTAAAGGTGTCACGGTCTGGTGGCACAGATGTCACTGGCTGATGTCACAGATATCAGCGGTTGATGTCACCACCTAATGCCATGGATCCAACCAGCCTCTTCCGTGTACAACAAGGCGTCATATCCCAGAGCCGTGAGAAAATTGTTTCACTTGAGCTTAAAGTTCTTCCAAAATTCTTCCTTAAGACGTCCAGTAGATCAAAGTTCCGCCACAAACACAACTGACCAGCAGTGACCTGAAGATTTCATCCCTGAAAGGTGATCACAAGAGTTCATCAAAATCAAAACTTTACATTGAAATATTTTTTTTACTATTTAAAGTGATTGTTTTCTAATATTATTTTTTTACAGTGTAATTTTTTTTCCTCACAATATAAAAATTTTTAAAAAAGTAACAATCCTTTTTTATGACTCAAGAAAAAGCCAATACTGTTTTATAAAATTTAAAAAAAAAACAGTCAAGAATTTTAACTTGTCTATTTCCATCTCTACCACCAACTCTTTTCATGTCTGTACACTGATGTACTTCTCTTGAGCCTTTAGAACTCTAGCCGTAATTGCATGACAAACACTGACTAATTAACTAATTAATTGTAGTGTTGGACTAGTGCGAGATACGGATCAGAAGTTTGTTTTGATGTTTAACCTTCAAATTATTTTTGACACAAATATTGTCTGATGGTTTTTTTACAACACAGGGTTCCTCCCCTTGATTGTTTTAATTAGAAGTTTACTGACGCTATCATGCTGGCACTAATTAAACTTGTCTCGTTCTTCGCGATAATTACTTGCCCCTGTGTGTTGAATTGTAGACTAGCAACGTTATAATCGCAGAGACTGATCTATTAATTACAGTAATTTGAGAGCAAAGTTTAGATCCTAATTAGGCTACTAATGATCATTTGTTTGGATACGTATACCGTGCACCTGGTTGGATAAAGTGACTGCATGTCTAGTTCTAGACGTTTCTAGCAGGTGCTGGTACAGGTGAGGGGTCGAGTCACGTGACTCCCGTCGCAACGTGTGTCCAGTCGAACCGGCAGTGTGACGTCAAGCTCGTGCCACGGACCTACCAGCTGGTCAGACGTCTGGGTCTTACAACATACCGGCAGATCAGCAGACGACACTTCCAGCACTGATTCTGGTGACGTGACGTCATTCACGGGGGGATTACTTCTTCTGGTGCTTTACATTTGTATGGACATCTTATTCGCCGCCTGCTCAATGTTCGGCTCCCAGTACGATGACGGTTATCACGTGACTATCCCAAACATCTAATGATGGCTTGCCGAATTTTTCAAACAAAAATAAATCTACCCTGCGATTTCGTCTAATATTTTTTTGTTAATTTCGTTACCATGGAAACTTCGATGTGAGGGGGAGGGCAACTATAAATAAAACGCAGCTACTTGCATACCTTTTCATCGCTCTAGGTGATCGATCAGTGTGATTGGTTATCTTCACGTGACGTAAACTATCGAACACTAAACGTCATCGTCGTCTGACTATATTTTCAATTATCAACAGTAATTATAGGATAGGCAATTATCTTCAAAACGAGTTGCATGTAGGTCAATGTAACTCAGTTTAATTATTTGCTTACAAATAAATATTTTTTTTTCTAAAATCATCGCCTTTTTCGTCAAGCTGATTCTTATTTATGAATATTGACTGTAAAAAATGTTGCAGTAAAGTGGCATTACGGTAAAACATTCAAACCCTTTAGCCGTAAGTGTAAAGCTGTTTGTATCCAACTTTCCAACATTCAACTGTTGTAGCGGTTACATCTCTGACAGTCGTTCTGATCCCATCAACGTTTGCACTCTACACGTCAATGTACCTGGTTTCTTGTATTTCATCATATCCGGGTATTGTGACTGGTGCTATAAACTTGTCTCAACTACCAGTTACCTACCGTTCTATTGTCTCCCTTTGACAGCCTTAAATGTCTCCAGTTAGCCTTATGTCCTAAACTACTAAACTCTACTCTATAGTCTATGTATCGTGATTTCGATCTAGTTATTTGCCAGCCGTACAGAGAACATTTGTAGCCCGCCTTGATCCGGTCCTTTCGTCCAATTAAAACAACCTCGCCTCAATAGTTTATTTTCTCTTAACCGTTTTATAATTGTTATTGAATTTCAATTTCCAACCAACGATTTTTTAATCATCGTTTCTCCAGTTGACTGGATGTTTGGTCTGTGGCGGGTTGGGGAGTAAAGTAGGTCACTTCTGCTGCGTCGTCTGCTACCCCCATCACAGGACTTAATTAGTTTAATTGTCCAGCCAATCAAGCGATACCCTGGACCAAAGCGTTTCCCTCTGTCATAGTCACTCGTGCGGAAAATGTTTTGAATGATTGTAGCGAGCACAGGCGGAGATAACAACAGGTCACGGTGGTAGTTAAGTTAATTGGATAATTACAGCTTCAGGTCAATGTGACCTCACGGCCAGGACACACTTAGACCTGTGGCAGAAAGGTATGTTAACATGACTTCACGACATTTAGATATCGAGACATTTATACCTCACATTTAGACCTCACGACATTTAGATCTCACGACACTTAGACCTCGTGACTTCTAGATTCCACGATAATTAAACCTCACGACATTTAGACCTCACGACATTTAGACCTCACGACAATTACACCTCACGACATTAAGACATCACGACATTAAGACCTCACGACAATTAAACCTCACGACATTAAGACATCACGACATTTACAAAGCTATTCTCCTTCCTTTTGACGTCGTGTCGCCTAACTCTTCTTGTAATTATTTCTGTGAGTTCACAGAACTAAAGCACATACATTTTCTTATGGACACCTGACTTTAAAATGTATGTATGTAAGTTTCTATTCATATCTTACTGTTATAGCTTTATAATGTCGAATTAAGAATGTGGATGTATATACAAATAAAAAGTTTCTAAAATAATGTAACTGCTTGATTTATTATTAAAAGAATTTATTCTCAATCAACCAAACATTGATACAAGGATTTTAATTAATTTTTATTGCTTTCTCGTATACGAAGTATAGAGGAAATATTGTAATCGTGCAAAAAAAAATCGAGATTTTTTAAAAATCTCGACGTTTTACACCTTCCTGAGTCGGAAAAAATAGTTTTGCTGTTATGTCCGTATGTCTGTGTGTGTGTATGTATTTGTGTATGTGAACACGATAACTTGGGTAGGTTGATGAAATTTCATATATAAGTATTATATAAAATGTGTAAACCTGTATAAACTTTTCAGCGATTTCCGTTAACCAGAAGTGGAAATTCCGATTAATTTTTCAATTTTTCAAAATCCTATAACTTAAGTACTCTGTTAGATAGTTGAATGAAATTTCACGTGTAATTAAAAGATCTGATTCTCTGCCTTCTGTCAAATTTTTGCAAATCTCGACATTTTACACCTCCCTGAGTCGGAAAAACATAGTTTTGCAATCTTGGCCGTAAGTCTGTGTGTGTGTCTGTAAACACGATAGCTTGAGTACCGTTACAGTTAGGTTGAGGACATTTTATATATAAGTATTATATTAAATTTGTAAATCTGTATCAACTTTTCAGCGATTTCCGATAACCGTATGTGGAACTTTTTCTACTTTCAATTTTTCATAAGCCTATAACTTGAGTAGGCCTACTATTTCAGATAGATAAATGAAATTATACAAATAAGTAAAAGATCTAATTTTCTGCCTTCGGTCAAATTTTAAGTAATTTCCGTTGACCGGAAGTAGTAATTTACGCTATTTTCGATTTCTCAAAAAACGCTTATGAATTTATGAAGTACTAATAATATTCCGTACTATTATAAACATATTGTTTGGCGTTCACTTGGTGAGCAATTCTTTTTTCTATTCTATTTAAAAAAGTTTAAGTAATTAAAAATGGTTTCAAATAGTGTCTATATCCCGATTTGCCATCCCCCGTAGTGTTATATAAGAATATTCGAGAAAGTTTAGAGGAGATCACTCCCGGTTTATATGTATGAAAAGTATTTCAAATATGGATGTCTGTAGTAAAGTTGCAGCTTTATAAGAGGGCGTAGAACCACCCAGTGTTTCTTCCTGACTTTATTCTCCAGGAGGGGGGAGGGTGCTCTTGATATTGGGGGGGTGGACACTGGTAAAAGTATATGTTTTCTATATCAATTCCATTTTTTGGGGGGGGGGGGCGGTAGACTTTCTTCGCTCTTCCCTCCCACTGGAAGAAACAGTGGCGCCACCTTATGTTCAAGACTTCTGGAAATTGTTTTATTGAACATTTCGACACACAATTTATGAATTTGAATTTTAAAATATTTCTTTTCCTGCTCAGCATAACATTTGCAATCTAAGTGTTCAGGTATTAGATGTTAAATTTGATCCTCTAACTCGATTGGTCTGTTTCGCCCCCCCCCCCTCCTTTCTTTCCCTGTCCGTGTGTACGTCACAAGCCGTTCACCCCTATATTGTATGCATGATACACAGCACACATTTTCCTGGAGTTTTACAATACTGGCATCAAACTGGTTGACTCTTTAAATCTAGCTAGAAGTGTGAAAAACTGGCGCTGAGATAGTGTGAGTGTGTGTGTTGGGCTGAGATAGTGTGAGTGTGTGTGTTGGGCTGAGATAGTGTGAGTGTGTGTGTTGGGCTGAGATAGTGTGAGTGTGTGTGTTGGGCTGAGATAGTATGAGTGTGTGTGTGTGTGTTGGGCTGAGATAGTATGAGTGTGTGTGTGTGTGTGTGTTGGGCTGAGATAGTGAGTGAGTCTGTGAGTGACGGCAGAGAGGAGTAGAGAGAAGAGAGGAGGAGACTAAGCGTGAGTACACAGACGAGTTGTGTCAGAGTGTAGACAGAAATTACTCGGAGAGATTAGCGGATTAACGATATCATTTTTTTTTTGAGCTTTTGGATTTTATTTCCTCTATTTAATTCAGTGGTATAGTCGTAATTAGTTGATAATTGTGTAAATAAATTGTCGTTGTTCTAACGAATGCCCACTCTAATCTAGCAGTTGCTTGGGGAGTGGCCTGCATGTGTTAAAGATTCTCGTCGTCTTAATTTTTCTTGGTGTTTTCTTAATCAGCTTTTAGGTTCAATGTCCGTTGTCTTTTGTGGATGTTGTATTTTGTTGTTGTCACATTCAGACTTAGGTTCCTTAAGTTTTGTGTCACATTTTGATTATTGTCACGACCAACATACCGATGTGTGACCACTAGTCTTGACCAGTGAGCAGCCTACAGTTGTACCAAATGCTGTCAGTTGTACTGAGTCCCTGCCGCCCCGGCCAGGCTCTGCACTAGTCGCCTGTCCATCTCTCGTCCTACTGAAGCTACTCCATTAAAACACGCGCCAACACGCGACATTCCACACGTACCAAAACATCAGACGACAAATGACGTCTGCTAGGCATCACCTGACATCATCACACCGCTGAGTTTCAGATTTAATGCGGGTTTGTTTTTTTATCAACATTCCATCTCAGTTAAAGTTACAAACGTCCGACCACACAACCGACGGGTGAAAACAAAAATTCACATTTCAAATGTTTGATTCACAGCTTGGGGGATATGGGTACACTGAAGTCACTAATTTATTAGCATAAAACATAAAGTAGGCCCATATCTAAATATTTAGTTATCAAATGTTTTAATTATTTATCTGAAACATCAAAATTTGTTTGAAATCTTTACAAATCTAGCTCCCAACATGTGACCAGTCATAATTTTCTGCAAGAATTGGCTCTGATTGAATGTGAAGTCTTTGGTCACATAATTAAGTCTGTGGTCTCACTTAAGTTTCTATGTCTGTGGTCTTTTACTTCAGCCTGGGACTGCCGCTCCAAACGTCCTTGACCATGAGCTGTAGGGTCAGCCTGAACCTGGAGCTCATGTTGATGTAGATGAAAATGTTGGCCGTGGCGTTGATAGAGTCCAGCACGAAGAAGACGGAGAACATGACCAGGATGACGTCATTGAAGAGAGCCGAGTCTTCGGCCAGCAACATGGCGACGGCGCCGACAAAACTGGGGAAGGAGCACGTGACAAACACGCTGGACACCAGGATGACCAGCTTGACCATCTTGTCGTCACGGCTGGACGCTGAAGAGTTCCTGCCCGCTGATGACGTAGAATGACGCCACTGGGATTTCCGGTGGAATATTTTTAGCAGACCAATGGTGAATGTTGTAACTAGCACGAACGACGTCATGTGTACAAACATATTTGTCGTCATGGTGACGTTCTGTAACTGCGGCGCGTCTGGCGATGTAACCAAACCGGCGGTTGTAGCGTTGGTCAAAGTGTCAAAGGTCAAACCTATACTGAAACACGCGTAAATCGGGACGACGGCAAGAATGTTCAGAGCGTAGATGGCAGTGATCGAAACGCAGGTCGTTGTGTGGGTTATAATGGCCTTGACCTTGAGTGGACGGGAGATACAGAGAAATCTCTCGAACGCCAAGAAAGCTGTCAGACATTTGGAGATGTGTTTAAACACAACACGGGGCCAGAAGAAGGCGAGGTAGCCAAAGGCTTCGAGATAGTCGTGATGTGAGAACCGCTGGGCGAGCAGGGGGTTGTGCACCAGGCTGTATCCCACCATCAACAGCAGCACCATCGTGTCAGTCACCGACAGCCACAACAGCGTCACGTTGACGGAGTCGGTGAAACCCAGCTTGGTGAAGACGATGACGTTGATGATGTTGAAGACGATACCCACGGCGCTAATGGTGCCGGACAAGATGACGTAGTTGACCATGGTGAACACCTGCAGGCTGGCAGGTGTGTCGTCTGCTACATGCAGGCTGGCAGGTGTGTCGTCTGCTACATGCAGGCTGGCAGGTGTGTCGTCTGCCGCGCTAGACCAACTCGTGTTGACCCTGGGGTCAGCCACGTCTATCGCCATTTTACTGGACCGGTGAGTCCGTGAAAAAATAAATGTTTGCGACTATTTGAAACTATGTATTACGTAACTGTAGAGAGAGAATAGGGGGGGGGGGTGTATAAGCAACTAGAATCTAGATGCAGTCGTATTCAACGAAAATTGATGGCGTAATTATATTATGGAGCATCGATCTTAAACATTTGATGAGAACAATTGGTGAGATGTGTTCACAAAGAGGACATTTCGGCAAACATCCTATAACTAGCGTCAACCAACAGACGGAGAGATGAAGCAGCTCACTATCAAATAGATATTTGTTTGTCCCAGATATATCTCAAACACTTTGTCCCGCCCTATATCACGTGACTTGGTTTTAATTCCCGCCATTGATCTGTATGCTAATGACCTTAATGGTTGTATAATAATCGTCGAGATAACGTGTATTTAGGGCGAGCTATAAACATTAGTTACAAGCAAACAACAACCCCACTAATTAGTCGTTTATTACAGTAATTTGAGGGGAGACCTTGGATGTAAAACATCATTTTGTGCTAGTGAAGCATCAGATTTGCTGCATCGATCTTCTGATGGTTAAACTAGCCAACAATTACAGAAACTTGACTCAAGTATTTAATTTAGTTTTGTGCTAATCATCTCCTACAAATTTCATCTGTAATTGTCTGACTACAATAATTAGCATCTTCATCATTTTCATCTCAAAATGTCAGACGGTCATAAGTCACGTAAAAGTGACTGTCAGTTTCAGAATTAAGCTAGAGAGTGTCACAACTACAGTTAGGGTTTGTTTTTTGTTTTTTTCAAACTTTATTCTACGTTGTCGAGCCGGTAAGCGGAAAAAAGACACAAGAAAAAGTCACAAATGTGTGTTTAGAAATATTTTGATTTACTTGTTCAGATATTTTTGGTGTTGTTCTTTTAGTAAGATACTAGACTACCCGTTATCCTTGGACAACTGTAAGTTTCGAGATCATTCATAATTGACGTCACACTTGTTTGGCAATTTTTATCTTCCCCCACCCAGTCCCCACAATCACACACAGTCACAAAAAGCTAAAATAAAATCGTAAAAGATGTCACACCTCAGTCAGCATGCATCTAAAATAGTTTAGTCAAGAAACTCAACACAAAAGAATGTGAATGCATCGGTTTCGACTCTGACAGGCCAACAGATACATGTTTATAGAAAATATATTATTCAACTTAGTCTCCGTAAGAAAGTAAAATCAAGCCAAATATTATTTAGAATTAAATTATATCCTAATTTAAACACCTTCAATTGCTAAGGAACAAAGATTGATATCAAATATTTAAAGACCAAATAGTTTATTTAAAAAACTCAATTCTTTTTCCCCCTTTTAATACTTGTCTAATTTTTTTTAACAAATTTAATTTGGTGTGTGTATAACATTTTGGGGAAAAAGAACATTGTTCTCTACATAAATACGTATTTTACAGTTCTACACATAGTGCAGATGCTCTGATCTAGCGGAAGAGACTAACACATTTTTTTTAAATATACAAACTTTTAAACATAGCAGCGTTTTAGTAGTATACTAGACTACCCGTTATCATTAGATAACTGTGGGTTTTGGGGTCATCCATAAATGACATCACGTCTGTCACTTATCATCACAAAATAACCAGACCCCACATTCAAAAAGGCTTCACACCTCAGACGTTTTTGTCTTTTAAAAACACCGATTTCGGCTGAGCATGGGCCTGACTACACTATCACTTCATATGCTGACGTCACTTACCCAACTCTACTTCACCTGCCAAGTGTCCCGCCAAGTCTCAGACAACTTGTTTCTAGCCGATCATGGCTCTGACCACAATATCCCTTCATATGCTGAGGACACAGAAACAGGTGATGTCTACTTCACCTGCCTTGTATCCCGCCAAGTTCTGATAGGCAACTGTTTTATTCACATCTAAAAAAAAAGAAATTGGGAAAAACATTAACATTGACATGATGTGTCTCGAACCCATGCCACCCGCATGGGAACCTAATTCACTATCATCTTAGCCTGCTAGGCTTGTAGAATTAGGGACGTAACTACTGATATATTTTACTTTTATTCTAGATCCATAACTTTTCCTTCCTTTGACAGCTGATTTTGTAGATTCTAGATCTAGAGAAATTTATTGTATACTAAAATAAAAAGAACTGTTAAAAATTGTAAATAGTTTGGAACCTAATAAAAATAGCAAACGGACGTATCGTTAAAGCTATAGCCGACAGAAAATTAGCTTTATAACGCGTTAAACTTTTGAATGGTTACCAAAATATTCGATGGAAGCCGCCACTATTGTTATGAAAAGTAAATAAATCATGTGACGTAACTATAAGTAAAGTCATTGTTCTGAAATTTTATAATTAAAGTGGTAAATCTACCAATGAATATATCAATAAATTAACCTACGTCTTTAAATTAATTTGTGATTAATAGTTTGTTTAAAAAAGAAAATTGTTCTTTACCTAAATACGTATTTTACAGCACTACACATAGTGCAGATTCACTCCTGTAACCAAACGGACAAACAAAAAAAAGAAAAACAAATAAATTTTCAAACATGTAAACAAACTTGAGTTTTAGTAGTATATAGATAGATAGTTGTATAAACTATTAAAGCATTATGGTTTTTAATAATAATACGACTCTTATCTTCTTAAGTAAAAATTCAACAAGATAATTTACACTGCAACCTCAAATGTTGGTATATATTTGTTTGAATTTCCAGTAGAAAAACTAATTATAAAAGACATGTTGACACATCGTTGTGTTTGTGTGTTTTTGCTGTAGGTCTTCTCTCGTTTGGCCTTACCCGTCCACATTGTGTGGTGTTGAGTAATGCGTCAATGACAGACTAATGCCGTCTCGACTTTTTGTCTTAATCTTTGCTTTGCCATGTAATCAGTGTGATAAATGTCGGCAGTATAGGTGGTTGAACTATTGTTACGATGAGTTGAGGAGAGGCGTAGCTAGGGGAGGGCGGGGAGGGCGGCCGCCCCGGGCGCCGACCCTAAGGGGGCGCCAAAAGGGTTAGAAAAAAAAATTTACAAGCTCATTTTAAGCTGCAGTTTTGAATTATAAACAGTCAAAGTAAAGAAATTTAACGGCTGAGAGCCGTTTGCATACTGATTTAACTGTTTTCTACCTTGATTGAGTAACTGTAAAAGGTATATCCCGCCATATATATATATATATATATATATATATATATATATATATATATATATATATATATATATATATATATATATATATATATATATATATATATATATATATATGGCGGGGCGCCACACTGAATGTTCGCCCCGGGCGCCGGGAGGGGTCGCTACGCCTCTGGAGTTGAGGAGAGCAAATCAAAGCTATAACTTCTTCCTATTTCATGCTAATTTAAAGTTTGAAGTAAGTTTTTTTTTAAACATGATTAAACTGAGTAGATTGGAACCTTCTACTATATTGCACTTAATTCTACTAAATGTTATATGTAGAATAGAATTAAAACCATCATACTTCAAACTAAACACAAATACAGCCTACACACATATATCTAAAATGTTTACATTTCATTTAACTAACCGTATGTTTATTTGCAATTTCTGAATACTTAATACATACAAATATTAACAAATTCCATGCAAATACACATTCGTACGGTTTTTCCTGTGTCTTTCTTTCTGTGACTTTTTTCCTGTGACTTTCTTTCTGTAACTTTTTCCTACAATCGTCGAGCCAGGATCTTGTAAGCAGTCGAACCATTCTGGAGGTAACTTTACTAAGACACCAACGATTGTAATTTTTACACAATTCCCACCGAGGATAGTAAACAACAAAAGTCAACACAAAAACATTGTCCAGTTTTTTTTGTGTGGGATAATTGTCTTTCAGAGATCACAAGTTGTTGTGTGATATTTATTTCCCTTTTAATGGCTTCAAACTATGAAGTTTGTTTACACTTGCCTTGGAAAAGTTCTTGTTGGTCTAGTTTTCAAACAGGGAGTGATTTCTTTGGTCTTGTCGTAGGGTCGTCACTAAGGTGGTAACCTCTTGCCCTGGAGTGTCGACCTGCCAGCAGACACTCCACGGTGTGTCGACTCGCTGCACCCTATCATCTCTCTCAGAGTGCGCCTGAACTTTGAACTGACGTGCAGGTAGATGAAGAAGCTGACGGCCGAGTTGATGGAGCCGAGGGCGAAGAAGACGGAGAAGGTGGCGACAAACAAGTTCCTGAGCCGTCCGGACACGCCGTAGTCCCTGTCGACCAGCATGACGATGGCGCCCAGAATGCCGGGCGTGGAGCAGACGATGGCGCCCAGAATGCCGGGCGTGGAGCAGACGATAAACACACAGGACAGGAACATGATCATCTTGACCAGCTTCCGGTCTCGTGACGTCAGAGCCGTGTTCTGACCGGAAGTTGATGCGCTCATCCTCCACTGGACCTTCCTGAGGAAGATCTGAATGAGGCAGGCCGTGAAGACGGCCACCACAACAAACGAGGAGAACTGCGCCATGATGTTGGTTGTCATGGAGACGTTAAGCATCGTCTGCGAGTCTGCTGTGGACGTGAGAGCGAGTGTCGTGTTGTTGAGACTCGGGTGAAATTGTTTAACCCTATCTCGTCCACATCTAACTGTGGTCTAGTGACGTACTGTTATTGACAAAGTATTTAACGATAATTTAAGAAAATTAATTAATCATTTATGCGATTAGCTCGTGTAATTAAAGAGTTGGAATTTTTATGTTAATTAGATTTTATAAGGTTGCTGAACTTTTAGTATATACTTATAATTACAATTTTTAACTACCTCTGAACGTTAAATGTTTTTAAAATATTGATATTTTAATAACTTTTGAAGAATTAATAATAGGAGCAGATGGTGTAATTAGGCCTTCAGATGTTGTTATTCAAGAAGGCAAATATAATTACTAAGGGCATGAGGGTTAGTCGAAACAACAAAATGGCGCCTCTGTGTCAGGGAGACGCCCACATTTCCTGTAGGAATTGATTTTTAATCGATATTTATAATTGAACAGGTCCAGGTTTCTGTGGCTCGTGGTGGGTGGCGGTGGGCCGTGGTGGGCCGAGTCATCGGAGGCCCGTTTCACTTTCTGCTGGTCGGTGTCAGACTCAGGGGTCGGATTGTGAGTTCTGGGATTTGCGGGGTCGGATTGTGAGTTCTGGGATTTGTGGGGTCGGGTTGTGAGTTCTGTGATTTGTGGGGTCGGAAGCGGTGTACAGTTGTCTGTGGGATTAGATCCTGTGGGATCTATAGTTGATGGGTTCTGTGCCTGATGATGTTAACCATTTGTTGCCTTGGTCTCCGTGATTTTAGAGTTTTTGATTCGTTTGATTTTAAAATTTAGATTCAAGAGTGTGTACAGTAAGTGAGGAAGATTCTAGAATTTTGACGAGTAGACGCTAAGGTACAGTCGGTAAAATTTAAAACAAAATTTGAACATAATTTCTTACACTTCACATTTTTACATTGAAATTAGGTTTGAACCTAACAATATTTTCACACATCTTTTGTCTCACCATATGCTGTAGCTCCAAACATGCCATATCTCTAGGACAGACTTGCCGTACACATTCTGATCAAAAGTAGGGCTCATTTTTATCATGGCACACTCTAGCAACAAATCTATCGTGAAGACTTGGGATCAGCGGATATTGTCCAGATATCCAGAACACGTTCGTTTGAGAATCCTTGTAGATGGTTTATATATTTAATGTGGGGGGGGGGAGATGTATCGATAAGTTTAGGATATAAAATGAAAATTTATAAACGTTTGAATGTCGCTTATTCAGTTATCCATACACACAACATCTATCCAACATCTAGTCCAACATCGTCCAACATGTCGTCCAACATGTTGTCCAACATCTGACGACATGAAACACATGCCGCAGTGAATGATTGAAATCGATTAAGCGACCACACAAACAAGTAAAACGGGTGATCTATAAATAGCACCTAGGCAGGTTGATTAAATCTGATCGATTACATTTCACACAGGGCGTGTTCTCATGTATTGATCTTTATCTGATCGGGTAATCAATCACAGGGCAGGTTAATCAATTCACGGCTTTAATTGCTAATTATCATTAACTGTACGCCTGGTTGATTGCTATAAGTTTTGTGTGCAAGTCTTACATGTGCCCAAGATTTACATGAAGAAATTAAAAATCTTAACGCTACTTAAATGTATGCCAAACTTTTTCTCTTGCTCAAGAGAAAGTATGTCGGCTGACTTGTGTCGGTAATTAGCGGAGTGGATTAGTGGAAACATTTCGATAATTAGCGGGGTAGATTTGTTGAAACATTCGATAATTAGCTGAGGTGATTAGTTGAAACATTCGATAATTAGCGGAGTGGATTAGTTGAAACATGTCGGTAATTAGCGGAGTGGATTAGTTGAAACATGTCGATAATTAGTGGATTGGATTAGTTGAAACATTTCAATCTTTCGATAAACATCTAACTTTTGAACCTGCTGTCTAGGAAAATTTCCTTACGGCCGCTAAGCCGTGTCCCACTTCTGCTAGCGGTGTTGGTTTACACCGTCCACACGCCCACGACAATATCTCCAGGCTTAGCTTCAAGTGTTAATGAACTGAGTGAATCCGTTAGGTAGAGTTTGGTTTTTTTAACACCCCCCCCCCCTCCACCTGTATGGCCTGTAATCATTTCAATGACCTGGTTAGACAAGCATACACCTGGCCGCCTGCCGTCCTATTCAGGTGGTGATTTGGTACCACAGCAGCAACGTTTGACGGGGGAGATAGTAGCGGGCTGTTGCTGGTGTGTTGAGTCTAGGTGTTTACATGTGTAGTGATTACACACACTCTCTCACACACGGGTCGCGGGTTATCTCACACACACCCACACACACGAGCCTCTGGTTGTGAGGGGCCACCATGTTGAGCCACACAGTGGGCTGGCTGGCAGACGGCTACAGGCCCAGGCTCATTAGGGCCCAGGCTTGGCTGGATGACGTGGATACATTCAGTGCTGGATTAGTGCTTCGTGGATACTCCGCCGGAGGATTATCTAGTGGAATTTCGAACGGATTATCTGCCGGGTTAAGACATGACCTTGACCGAGGATCAGCGAGCAGTGCACGGCCCCAGCGAGCAAGTTCAGCACCCACTGGTACACGATCGAATCCCGGCCAGCCTGCAGCCAGCTGCTCACTCAGGTCAAGGCCATTCAGCGCTAGAGTCTACCGGCGTGACAGCTGTCTACGTGACGTCACACGTGACAGACCACGTGACAACAGTTCCGTCGTAAACCAGGTTAGCAGCAGTGTCACGCCGGTCAACAGAAAATTATTGCCCCGCCCACCCCACCCACCCCGCCCAGCCTCTGGGTCCAGGAGCAGGCCGTTGGGGGTCCCCAGGACGGTCTGGGAGCAGGCGAGCGAGGTTTGGCGCCCTCTGGACATTCTCTCAGCCCAACCAGGGGCTGACAACCCTGCCACGTCCAGCCCTGAACCACCAACCAGCTGTGGGGATGACAACCAAACAAGCCAACCATCAAGACATGCAACCCGCCTGGCTGCTGACAACCATCCTGGCCAACCACCGAGTTCTCCACCACCGTCAACCACAGACACAGAACTTGACAACCCGCCAACCGAGAAAGACGACGCCCCAGCTGTACACCACGGTCCAAGAATCGTCTGGACAGTCCACCCAGACGGCCCGGCAGACGAGACTCTGGCACCAGACGATCCCAGACTCGGCCTGTCCATCGGGTACCAGACCAGGCCGGAGCTGCTGGACACTGGCCGTCACGCGCGTTGTTTCCTGGCTGACCACAGCTCACAGGGAGCGGGTTCGAGACCCGCCGAGCTGACGGTTAATGGGACAAACGTGACGTCATCCACTGCCTCTCGTCTGCTCTCCCCGGGCCCCCTGAGGCCGTACAGCGGTAGCTCCGACCCAGGGAGAAGCAACTCTCCCACCCAGCGGTATGTCGACTGTCACAGACCTCGGTCTGCGCCATCTTTGGTAAGCCACGCCCCCCCCCCCCCCATATCTTTTAGTCTTAGCTGCAGTCTTATGATAACTACTAGCCGTCGGTACCCGTTACACGTGAATTATAGGCCTGTATATCTTAATGTTATACTTGTTTGAGAAAACTATTTTATAAAAAAGTAATTGGTCAAAACGTAATGTACTTTGCTACTTCATATGCTGAGAAGACAGAAACAGGTGAACTCTACTTCACCTGTCCCGAGTCCCGCCAAGTCCCGATAGGCAACTTTATCATTCACATCTTAACAAAATATTGAAAAAAAATATTTAAGATTGACTTGGTGTGTCTCGAACCCCGTACCACCCGCATGGTAACTATTACACTATCATCTCAGCTATTTAGGCACTTTAGCTTAGTTGCTGAATAAATAGGGTGTTTAAGAAACATAAGTTACGCTAATAGGCCCTATTATTTCAAATTAGCCAATCCCATAGCTAAGCAAACAAAGATTTATTTAAAATTATCAAGGCCTGAAATCGTTTAGTATAGAAACTCAATATTGGCGTACGTCCTGATAAATAGATCTAAATCAAATTTGAATGAAATTTTTCATTTCTTTATATTCTAAAATTGGAAGATTGCGCCATTAGTTTTGTGTTCTTTTCCTAGTTTAAACATGTGCCATGTGATGTCATTATTTATTTCGTTCTAGTCACGACAGTAAAAGCTTTATTTAGAAATCTGTTTCTACATTCGAATATGCCTTTATTTTTATTTTCCTTCTATAAATAAAATTTAGTTTATACATTTATACCATCCACCATATTATTTTCAACATGCTGACGACGTTGCCAAAAAATATTGAGGACAGAGAGAAGTGCGCACATGGGCTTTTATAAATTAGGATTTGACCGATGGTTTGACCGATGCTAAATATAAAATGATGAGGTTTACACATCCATAGCGTCATACACATAATTCACTACAGTATCTGCTCTTTCTAATCCTACTATTTCTCTATTTGTTTTTTTTTCTAATGTTTGTTTCTGTAGGTTTTTTTTTTTACCTATCTGTAATCACGTTTGTCGTGCTAAATGTTTTTGACTAACCTTATATAAATTGTGATCGTGTTGTGTTTCAGAGCAAAGAAATCAAGAAAGTCGGCACAACTCGACAGGTAGGTGATGTTTTATTTGGTTACGTCCCTTTGATAATTGTAGGCCAAATAGACAACTCTGGCGTACAGTAAAGTAGATTCGTCAGGTGATGGGTGGACTGGTCAAGGGATTGGTCGAATAGTGGGGGGAGTGGTCAAGAAATTGGTCGAATAGTGGGGGGAATGGTCAAGGGATTGGTCGAATAGTGGGGTGGACTGGTCAAAGGATTGGTCGAATAGTGGGGGGACTGGTCAAGAAATTGGTCGAATAGTGGGGGGAATGGTCAAGGGATTGGTCGAATAGTGGGGGGACTGGTCAAGGGATTGGTCGAATAGTGGGGGGACTGGTCAAGGGATTAGTCGAATAGTGGGGGGACTGGTCAAGGGATTGGTTGAATAGTGG